ATGTCTATTCTACATCATATCCAATTTTTTAAAAATATAGCAAAAAAAAATGCAACCTCTGATATTGCTACATTTCGGACTGGATATTGAATCCCAACACGATGGCGTGCATTTCGATACTTGGAGTAGGCCTATGTATTATACTATCTTATCAGGGGAAAATGTATTTAAAATTAGAAGAAATTGGTTGTATTAAAACTATAAAAACGGTGATGCAGTAACTTGAGTCATGAGAGAGTACAGTATTTCCTTGAAGGCCCTACTTATTTCACTAACGAGTTACTCAAAATTGATCGGTAATGAAATGTTTGTGTAGGTCTACATACGGTAGTTCGGGTGCTCAAATTAAACATAGGCCAAGATTGAAACTCAAATTGGCTTTATTAATAATATTTTTGCTTATGTACCTGTATTATCAACAAACACTCCCTGAAATCGTTTTCAAACAGCTTAAAAATGCTCATATCGTCTGAGCGGCGGGGGGGGGGGGAGGGTTCTCCTGTCGCTTGGATCCCCCAACCAACTGGTATAGTCACTCACGCATTTCAAATCTCTCAGGTTGGTAACTATGCCAACTCGGCAAATTAACCAACTCGGCCCTTGTCAACTAGGCCCTTAACCTACTCGGCCCATAACCAACTCGGCCCATACACCAACTCGGCCCTTGTCAACTCGGCCCTTAACCGACTCGGCCCATAATCAACTCGGCCCTTGTCATCTCGGCCCCTAGCCTACTCGGCTCTTAGCCAACTCGGCCCATTCAATTCGGCCCTTGTCAACTCGGTCCTTAACCAACTCGGCCCATACACCAATTTGGACCAACCGACTTTGCCCTTGAACCTAGGCCTATTTCTAGTTGCATAACTCTATAGAGTACTGTATATAATTTGTGGAAAGAAACGTTACAAATAAATTCCCATGGTGCTCTTGAAGTTTATTAATAAATATTACAGTATCACTTTGTGTAATTTTTTTTTTTTTACAGAAGAAACAACGCAAATGTTACTGGTCGACTGTTTTGAGACACGCCCTTTTTATCGTTTGTTGCGTTACCATTAATTACGATATGTATTTTAATCATGTTTATAAATGTTTAAATAAAATGGAGATTTATGAAATAAGTATCAAAAGTTGTCATACGTTTGTTATATTGTTTGTTACGTTTCCATTTACCTTAAAAGTTCTGATCATGTTTCTAATTCTGTACAAGTAAATTCATACTAAATGATATGATGAATGAAATAAAAGAAATATAGTATTTTCATACTTTCCATATAAACTTATCAATATGTTTAATTATAACAGTACATTTTAATGGCCTTTTTATCAGGCTTCTTTTATATTCATAAGCCCGAAAAAATCACTCACCGGGCTATTTCTATTTATTATTTATTCCAAACCAACAGCGATTCATCGCTACTAACAGGTATAAAAATCTAGCAAAATAAAAATCACAAACATCAGTTGCATATTAAACTAGTATAATTTGTGGAAAGACGTCCACAAATACTGAGATTCTCAAGTAATGGATAGTCTTCGAGGTAAAGCAGACACAATGTTTGTATTTTCTTGCTTGTTTCCATTTTTGATACAACAACATATTCTGGTTTTTATAAAATACACAAATAAATGGAAATATATAAAGTTAGACTCGTCATTGTTATTCAGTACTTCGATAAATATATAGTTTTAATATAATTTATAAAGAATGTTATTGGCCGTTTTAAACTTTTTTATAGGCCTATTTAATAAGCCGGAAAATGCACTACTCCGATGCTAGTTGCCTGGAAACTTAAGTATAAAATCGTAAAGAAACTTTCCCATAATTCCAAACAGGCTCCTGCACAGTATTCTTGATGATCAAGCAGACACAACGTCTTTGTACGGAATAAGGCTACAATAGGCTACAATAATTACATTAAAATTAAAACAAAGTAAATTGACATGCCTACATTATGTACTACATGTTCGTGTATCTCATTTCTTTGTGGATAAAAAACACAAAAATTAATACATTCATGTGTGACGACAAATAATTATAATATAATTACGGTATTAACATTTAATACATCATTGAAAAGCTTTCCCATTAAAATATTCCAAAAGCGACTCGGTTCATGGGCCGAGTTGACAAGGGCCGAGTTGGTGTATGGTCCCAGTTGGATAAGGGCCGAGTTGGTGTATGGGTCGAGTCAGTTAAGGGCCGAGTTGAAAAAGGCCGAGTTGGTGTATACCGAGTCGGTAAAAGGCCGAGTTGGCAGTGGGCCGAGTCGGTATGGGCCGAGTCGGTATGGGCCGAGTTGGCGAAGGACCGAGTTGACCTGCACCCGTCCTATGTTCTCTGCATACGTAGATTTGGCCGAATTCGAGTCAACTCGGCCCCAAGTCAACTCGGCCCCAAGTCAATTCGGCCCAATGTCAACTCGGCCCCAAGTAGTCAACTCGGCCCCAATTTACTGTGTATTTACTGAATATTTAATCATGACAAAGCTTAGTGAGTTATATATATATATATATAAGAAGTTATTATACATTTTAATGTATATGTATATTTTTTTAATATACATTATATATACATTACATATATGCGCAGATGACTTTTAGTGACGTCATTACATTCTACGTCTTACCGTCGTCGTGCAATCGAAAGCTCCCTATTATGGGAGTGGATTTGAATATCTTAAGATGCTTGCCTACCAATTCCAGGTCCTGGGTTCAATTCCTGTCAAGGTTACCGGGTTAAAACAACTCCACTTCCTAAGCTTCACAATGAGCTACAGTATAGATTATGTAGAGCATCTTGTAGTTCATGTAAATTGTATAGCATACTTGTACCGTATGTAGGCCTACTCTATATTTGTCTTGTGAAGAGATTTGCCACTTACAACGTACTATGCTTGTTCTTATTCTTTGTTTCCAATCACAAACACAGCTGGATGGGAGGGCCATGGTCTCTTAAGTAAACTTTAAAACATTATGTCAAAAAACCACTCAAATCAAATAGAATTTTGGCATAACATTGACCATTGACTTAAAACAAATACCGTAATAGGCATAGGATAATAATTACAATAAAATTATTTATTAAAATATTTAATGTATATCATTCGCCAATTACAGGATGGAGGACGCTTTATAAACCAAGTCTGCTTATGAGTGGAGTTGTTTTTAGTTGTGAAAAAAAGGCCTGCTGTCACATGAATTGAACTCAGGACACTGGAATTAGAAGAAAGGCAACTCCGCTCCAATTTTGTAGGAATATTGGGTGTAGAATTTCTGTTAACCACTGATGAAAACTTCTAATATTTATTGATTGGTTCAGTATTATTGCCATAATATATTATTTTTATTACGTTTTTTTCAATGACAGAATTGTCAACTTTACTCCCGATATTCCGGTTGTACAAACCCAAAATGCAATTGAACGAGCTTTCCAAGTGTGGAGTGATGTCACACCTTTAACTTTTAGACGACTGGACACCGGCAGTGCCGATATCTACTTAAGGTTCGATTCAGACGCCGCTCACGGTGACGGTTATCGATTTGATGGAAAAGGTGGAATATTTGGTCACGCATTTCCACCAGAGAACGCCCTTCGTTCTTTGGATGGAGACGTTCATTTTGATGACGATGAAGACTTCACATTCCAGACCACGGCCGGTAGGAAACTGTGTTAAGCATGTGTGATGTCATGTGATACGATATTAAATTAAAATGTAATTAATTAATTAATAATATGCTTATTTATAAATGTTTTTAGGTATATAGGCCTACTGCAGCATCATTAAACAATAATATCAATATTTTAACAACCAACATTGATCCTACCTGTTACATTTTTGGCCTACCTTATTACTGTACGTCACTAATAGTCCTTCTACTTAAAATCAGCCGGAATTAATGCGTTGGTGTTTTTACTGTATTCTTGAATTGCAAATATACACTTAATGTTGGTGTTCAGCTTTTGTACTATCAATGTTTATTCATTCTATATTCAGTAACTATGCCTGGTACATGTTTATTAATTAAATTTATGAACGTTAAAATACATACACAATAAGTTCTCATTACTCAGCCGTGTGTGTAAATAATTCATTCAGGCCCTACGGTTATGTATAGTCAATTAATAATAATTTTATATCAAGAGTTTTTTATAATGTTAATTTTGATAACAGTGATGACAATGACGATAAAGATTACGATGAAAATAATGATGTCGAAAACGATGACACTGGTGATGGCGAAGATGATGATGATGATGACGACGACGACGACGATGATAATTATGACGATAATAATCATGATTATGATGATGATGATGATAGTAAGCCCAAGTGACGATAAATACAGATAGGCTTATCCACTGCACACGTAGTTCTCGAGATATGAAACAAGAAAGGCAGAAAAATTAAACAAAACACAATATTTATAATATTTTCTTACGCTTCCTTTTAGGCATCAACCTATTTCAAGTAGCTGCTCATTTAATCGGCCACAGCCTGGGTCTCGCTCATTCTTCTGACCCCGAGGCGCTGATGGCGCCCTTCTACAAAAACTTTATACCACAATTTCAGCTTCCACTCGACGATACCGAGGGTATTCAACGCATTTATGGTAGGCTTCTAAATATTATTTATCGCTACTGATATTTTCATTTAATTTTTTAAAATTATTATATTCATTTTACTTTCAGGTGTTCTTTTTAATTATTTACTGGGATCATGAGTGTCATGAAATGCAATTACACGGCAATTTACATAATTCAACGAATAAATTTAGTTTTAATAGTTTTAACATCTTATGTTAGGTATATATGTATTTAAGTTAAAATTATATTTTATATAACTTATAATGTATTATACATTGTAGGATTAGGTTTATGTTTAGGCCTATGTATAAGAAAAAAAGTTTAATTTCACTGTTCCCTGCTTCTTCCATTCTGTTCCTTGTTTTGAATATTTCCTGTATTAATTTTCTTTACCAGGAATTAGGTAAAACAAAACACAGTAGCCAAACATTGAGCTGATCATACTTGTATGTATTAATAGAGATATTAATTTAGGATAATGACCACTCTCTCTTTATGTGGAGTTTATTCATTGTATTTAATATAATTTAATAAATTTTGTGAATTAGTTGTTTAATCTACAAATCTATAATTTCAAATAGATAAGACAGAAAGGTATTTACGAACCAAAATTCTGAAAACGTAAATGGTCAACAAGCAAAATGTATTTTTATATTGAATAACGTTGATATGCATTTTTTTTATGATGCAAAGCAATGGAGAATATTAATGTATTTTCATAGGTGTCAAACCTATCGACCAGGTTGAGAATTCCCCTGCCGAAACAACTGAAGATGAGGCCGAATCGTCAAGACCCTGTAACAGAGTTTATGATGCAGTCGGTTTTCTTCGCGGTGACATATTTATGTTTAAGGTAGTTTGCTCACTTTTATCCGTTTTGCCAGGTTGAACTTCTAATAATTTAGACCTACATTAGAAAGGAAAAATGTCAAAAAGTCTATTTCGTTTTTTAAAATTATTATTTCTGATGACCTGGAAGATTGTCTTGAGGAAAATGACGTTTCAACTTCCTATGTCTCTGCTATCAGCGTCTCAATCGTAAAATTTCACCGTTCACCACTTACACAGGAACAGATAGCAAGGAAAAGTTTAACTGATTTCAACTAAATGATCTGATAGCCTAGTTATCTTGAAATATGATTTGCTTAATTTTATGTGAATACAAAAGTTACCTTGACGCTACAACAATCTGTATTATTTTCAAACAATTCATGATTTGTAGAGTTCCAATACCCATGGCAAAAACGGTGGCGCTGTTTAAAAATAAGAGTATTTAGTTCATTATTTTTGTTAATACTGTAATAATGTATAGTGTTTATATAATATATATTATAAAGGTCTTAATTAGGACGCGTTAGGACGCACACATGGAACAGAATCAATTTGACACGACCGTTAGTTTAAACTAACGGTCGTGTTAACTAACTTAAAATATTTCAGTCAAGTAGCATCTGTGCATGTCGACCTGGATTACAATATCAATGAGAGAGTTGGTTTAGACGCCATTGTTTTACGTTTCTTTTGTATCATTTGTTTAATTAAAGAATGATCGTTACTGGCGACTTTACTTCATTGGTGTGAGTACCTCTGACATCATCCAAGGCGATCCTATCAATCGTTTTTGGAGCGGGCTGCCGAAAAGTGTCGACGCTACTTACGAAAGACTCGACTCTACTATACTCTTTTTTAAAGGTATTTCTACTATCGTTGCTGTTATCAGTATCATCGTCACTGTCAACATAAGTAGGCCTCAAGACACACACACACCCCCCCCCCC